GCTCAGAGTGGTTGAGAGTTGGGCAGCATACAGGTTTAATAAATTATTATTATTACAGTATTATTATTATTATTATTATTATTATTATTATTATTATTATTCACTGATAGTTCTTAAACTGAGAATCTCTGAATGAACATTTACAGGTGTGATGGAGAACTCAGTGTTTAATAGCAATTAAAAAAAGCAAATTCCATGCTAAAGAAAAGGATTGAGAATAAAAAAAAATTCTTGGAATGCTTTTATATAAAGCAACCAGTGTTATAATACCATTAAAGAAAGCAATAATTGGTTGCATGTGGAATTCTATATAATTCTGATTGCCCCATCTTAAAAATGGATATAGAAATAGAAAATTTTAGAAGGCAAGAAAAATATATTAAACAGATTATAAATCATCAATATGGAAAGCTACAGATGTAAACTTTTCTGAAATTGCATGTAGCCATGAAACAAGTTCCATCCTGCCTGAGAAATATATAAATATATATACTTCATATCCAACTTAACATTATTTTGCTTGTTTAGTAGCATAAAACACATTATTTATAAATTACTAAGGTTTTATTTATGAACTAGTGAGTTTATAAAATTGTATTACAGTGCATAGTATAGATATACTGTAGTATATCTGTGGAACTGGCTGGGCAATTTTATTTACTTCAGTATTTTCAAAGGCCAACTTTAAGGGGCTACAGAAAAGATTTTTCAAAAAATTATGTTTGCTTAGAATTATTGTAGATCTGTTCTTTTCCATGAGCTCTCTTGCAGCTAAGGGTGCTCTGGATTGCAGCTCAAAAGTATAAATGCCAGTCCTATACTTGTTCACTAAGAATATAAGAATCTTCTCCCAGATACATGGAGATAGGAGAAAGGTATTCAACATATTTATTTATTACTGATATCTGGCAAAGTAGAAAAAAATGACACTATAACTTCCAACTGTTATAGCAAGAAATAACAATATATTATTAGACAGTAATGTCTCATATAAGCACAATATTATGGATGAAAAGTATACAGGTAGTCCTCACTTAGCGACAATTGGGATCACCAACTCTGTCTCTAAATGACATGGTAATTAAGCAAGACATCACATGACTGTGACTTGCAATTTTACTGCTGGCTTCTCCACTGACTCTGCTTGTCGGAAGCCGATTATAAAGCAAACAAATGGTGATCACATGACCACAGAACACTGCAACAGTCAGTCGTAGCTTTGAATGGTCACTAAACAGGGCAGTCATTAAGTGAGATCTACCTGTATCTGGATTATCAAATTAAAATTTATAACAGTACTGAAAACACTGAATTGTGCAATATGTATTTGTTTTATATGAACATCTTCACTTTGGGAAGTAAAGTTAATCTTAAAAAGCAATTTACTCACTCTAAAAGTGACAAGATTTCAAAATAATTATTTTGAGTATTCTTTTCCAATTTGCTGGAAAAATTAGGAACAAAACAATCCCCCAGTCCATCCCCAAAATCTCTGTATTTGAGATTGGTCCTCACAGCTCTAAGGGAGACATGGCTTTATGACTTAATGTGCAGTACGGAACCAGCCAATTGTCGATGATAAATCGTGATTAAGAAACGTCTGCTCCGGGTGCTGGGAAGCATCGACCCGAAAGGCGACGCAGCAACTCACTTCTGCCTCCAGGAGCGCTAATGGGCTAATTCTTCCAGCTACAGTACTCAGAGAGAGTGAGCATCTGAGACGCAGAGGGAGGAGTAGACGCTGCCCTCTCCCACACGTTGCCCCACTTGTACTCCTCCCCGTTTGCCTACATGCAACAGTCCTCGAAGGAGGATGTTCCCGAAAGCTTCCCCCCAGGAAGAAAAGTCAATCGGTGGCTATTGCCCCTTTCACCAATTCCGTTTTTATTTCAAATAAGATGAAGGCAGCCCTAATCCCCCTGCTCCAAATCTATGTTTAGAGTACGCTTCGACCCTCAGCTGCTCTCTTCCCCCGCCTCCTGCCCGTCTTCCACTACCCACCCGGGTCCACAAGCCTTCCCCGAAAGACTACGTATCCCGAAATGCTCCGCAACACATAACACCCCCACCACGCCCGGCTACGAAGCCCTGCTCCGCCGGCAGGGCGTCCACCAATGAGCGACAGAGAGGAGGGTTAAGTTGTGCGGCGCTAAGGTGGATGGCGGGGTTTCGGTGGGGCGGAGCTTCAGCACGTTAGAGGGCCGGGCAGGCGAAGCTGCTGTCCCGGTCTCCAGCGAGTGACGCCGGGCGTCTGCCGAGAGCGGGCGCGATGCCGGTCCATTCGCGGGAGAAGAAAGAAAACAATCACGATGAGATGGAGGTGGACTACGGGGAAAACGAGGGCAGCAGCTCCGAGGAAGAGGAGTCCGAGAGCTCGTCCGTGTCCGAGGAGGGGGACAGCTCAGGTGAAGCGGGGAAAGGGCTCCTGGGCGCACATGCTGGAGCGAAACAGCGGATCTGTCGCGCTTGGGGTTAGATGGGGGCAGAAGGGAGGACTCAGCCCCGCCCCGTCCGGCTCTGTTGCTGTGCCAGGACGATTCTGCGGTTTTTGCAACCCTTATGGCCCCTTTCGGCATTCCCCCCCCTCCTTCGCCATGGGGGACTTGTTAGGATGCCCCCGGGGTCTGCGCCCCTCACCTGGGCGGGCAAGGCAGTGGCCTCACTTTCCTAATAGTTTCCTCCCGGGGTCATTGGGGAGAGCCATTCTCTTCTCTGCCCCTAATCCTTTCCCCCCCTCCTTTGGTGATAAACCTGCGGTGTGGTGTATTGTCTGCAGCCAGCTCGGTGGGGGAAATTTCTGTAAGCTGGGAAGGAGTTGGTTTCCGCCGTGGCTTTAGTCTTTTGGTGTGCCACAAAAAAAGGATGCCAGAAATGCATTCAGACAGATAGGCAAGCATCTAATTCTTGGGCCAGTGGCTTTATGGACTAAATTGCAAAATGGTCCTAATATGAAGGATGCAGTTTGCTGTCTTGCTGTTTCTTCCTTTCCTTTTAAAGAACAGGTGTTTCATAGTCATACCTTCTCTGGTGCCTTCTAGAAACAGGGAATGTGACTAATATAGCTTGAGGGTTAGTTAGTTTGTTGAAACCCCTATTATTTTTTCTCTCCCAGGTCTTTGGAATGTCCCATATTTATTTGTCTGATAAATGTTCCCAGGGCATTTTCTATCCTATCTTTAGGGTTAAGGTTAGATGATAATGGTTTCAACGCATGAATCAAATCAGTGCCTCAAAACAAACTGTAGATTGACAGTAACTAACCAGAATAGTAGCTTAAGGTTGTATTTGCCTTTTTATTCAAGCCTCAAACAAGATACATGTGCAAAAATGTTGGCTGATAGTCTTGTGTGTTTCAGTTCTTATCTCAAAATTACTCTAAAATCACTGGAGTTAGTATGCCTGATATGCCATTCTTATACTTAATGCTGAACGCCTTGGACACTTGGAAGTAAAGCATAGTGAGGTTAAAGATGATCCGTCTCAGCATATGATTGGTTCATCTTAGCATTTGGCATTGCTATATTAACCTTCTGAATACATAAATCACATTTTAATTTATAGGTATTATATCTGTGGCAGCCTGTGGTATTAGGATGTTGGACTGGGACCAGCGGGCTTCCATGATGAGTGTAGAACATAGGTCCACAATCCTGGAGGAATGGTAGAATGTAAATTTAATAAATAAATTATATTCTATCAACTTGTATGCCATTTTCTTTAAACACTATCTAAGTTACTCTTTTCATATATTTAGATATTGCAGGAATAAATGCAATTATTTAGTTGCCTCAGTCTAGTGTTGGTCATTTTCATTAAACTAAAATACAATATGAGCCAATATATCCTGTGGGAAAAATTCTGAGGATACCTTCCACCCATGGTGTGTTCAAATTTGGACATTAGAGATGAAAGAGAAGTTTTTCTATCCATTACATCCTTCTCTAACATCAAGTTGGATTTGATTCCTGGTGTCTTCATAGACAGACCCCTACAGTTTTCTTAGCAACAGCATGGAAAAGGTTTGCGATGGTCTTCTTTGGAAGGTGGTGTTTTTTCAGCTTCTCAGTCTACTCTACAACCCTGTAGTAGAGGGTTCTGTAGGTTCTCTGTAGGTTCTCCCATAACCAGGGACACTAACCAGGCATTACCCTAATTAGCTTATGAACCCAGGCCAGGCCAGCTGGGTGCTGCCACATGTTGACGTGCATCCCTTTCCTCTAATGTAGAAATAAAGTTTGATCTCAATATATGCTGCAATATAGGACAACATGGAACAGGGCAGCATATAGAGAAAGTACATATGGAGAGGCTTCTGCTGCTTGAGGAAATTGCCAAGCATTTGCTCCTCCGTACGTCTTATTTTGGGAAGGTTAGGCATTTGTTTCTTGATTATTCACTGTGGTGTCTTTAGTTACACTTAATGTTTATGCTTCTCTGTGTTTGAAGAACAGAGTTTGTGTATATTGTTCTCCAGCATTCCTAAGAGTTATTAAGAAAGAATAATAGTATGCTCTTAAGTTTCTCCTGCTTCAGTTTCAATAGAATTAGGAGGCACCAAAACTCCAGTTTTTTGACAAGTGCTCTGTCTATATTCTGGTGTCAGTCCAGACAAATAGGAATAAAATCCTTTACATGTTATTGGGATGGGCATTGTTTTTTTATCTTTGAGTCACATAGTCATAAGTTGAGGAAACACATCTAAAGTACTGTTTTGTGGCACCTAGTCTTAGAAGCAGGAGAAAATCCCTTTTGTTCTTGGCCTAGAGAGCACTGCCATTAAAAATATGCACCTATCTTCATTCCTTTTTCGTCTCTTAATGGCATTAGTTTAGAATGCAGCCCTCAGCTTGCTGAAAGCTCCAAGGAAGAGGCCTAAGTCTAGCTCAGTGTTTCTCAGCCTTGGCAACTTTAAGATCATGCTGGCTAGGGAATTTTGGGAATTGAAGTCCACAGATCTTAAAGTTGCCAAGGCTGAGAAACACTGAGCTAGATCCACTGCTCCAAAGAAGTCAGTACAGTGGAACAGCACTTATACCATTGAAAACACATCTGATATACAATATCTGATATATTGTTGGAAAACTCCAGAACAGCATCTTTCAGGAAGGAATGAGGGAGGGTATGATAAATAGAATGCTTCACCCCTTAATTTCCCTTGTGTGCTTCTGAAAAGACCCCCTAACTATGTCAGCCCCAAGCCAGACATAGAGATGTTTGTTCCGTTGGAATTGGAGGCTACATTCACACAGAACAGAAAGCCAGGGTTTTAAAGAGTTTCATTGATGCTTTAAGTGAAGTATAACATATTAAACTAGGCTTCCCCACTAGGCATAACTTTCTGATATAGAGCTAAACAAAACTGATGCCTAAAACACCTTTGTAAAACTTTCGGATGGTTTTTAATAAAGCAAGAATAATTAATAAATACAATACAATTATTAGAATGTCTAATTGCTAATTCTAATAATATCATTCTGTGTCAATTGTTTCTTGTTCCACTACATATTTTAAAGACTTGGTAATCAATGAACCCAGGAGATTTGGATTTTCTCTAATGCATACTTGATCAGCCCAACTTTTAGTTGAAAGATCTTTCTCATGTGGAAGAAAATTTCTTTTAGAGAAACAAATTGGGACCAAATTTGTGAGTATCTTAGGTTCCTTCTCTTAGGACATATAACCTGTTAATTACTCCACAAATTTGGTAAAGATGACAAAAAATAAAACTTTGCAAATAAAAAAAACAGTATTTCCACAGGTCAAGGGGAAAAATCCATTTAACTGACATGTGCTTCTTCTAGTTTTTAATTTTTAAGACCTTAAGTAGTATTAAAGATAAATATGATAAAGATATACTATAGACATTAAATAAGACGCTTAAAATTACAGAGTTAGATAGCATTTGGATGAAGTTTAGCAAGATGACTCAAGTAACTTCTTGCAATATTATTCGGGATTTTTTTTTTTTTTTGAGCCAAAGGAAAGGATAGTAAATCTGTAAAGTAAGTCCTGCTGCTTATGTACTGGACAGTTGGACGGCAGAGATAATAAATGCCATCAGCCATTGGAAAAAATCAGTGGTGCACCTTCTCTCAAAGAAGCCATATGGCCATATTAGACAACTTCTCCCTAGTCTCCAACCTCCCCTTTTAGGAGAAGGTGGTGGGGAATCAGTTACAGAAGATCCTTGATATGGATTATCAAGATCCTTTCAAGTCAGTATTCAGGTCTGGGCACGGGACAGAAAACAGCATTGGGTTTTGTGGTGGCTAATCTACATCAGGGCTTACAGAGTGGGAGTGCTCCTTTTAGAATTCAGCTTTGATCAGCTGTAGTATCTTTTTGGAGTAGGGGGCACTGTCCTGTAGACATCCTGCTCCTACCTTAGTGGATGTGTCTAGTCAGTAGTAAAGAAGGAGGAGATATTAAGCTCCTGATAGCTGCAGTATGGGGTGCCCTAGGGTTTGGCTTTCTCCCCATTCCTGTTTAACACTTATGTGAAGCTGTTGCAAGACATCATCTATCAGTCTGGGCTAAGTTATAATTAGCACACTGATTGTATTCAATTCTATGGTGCCATCCCAGGTCAAACCTTGCTTAGAAGTTGCTTAGAAGCCTTGACATCCAACAGATGTCTGGAGTCCAAAGGCTGTGAAGGACTAGATGGGTCAAAACAAACTGAAATTGAATGCTAGCAAAATGGTGTTACTGTTTATCTAGAAACATCTTAGCTCATTGATGGCTCTGGGTGGAATTACTTTCAGGTATATGTTTACAATCTAGGGATCTTCCTGGATTCATAGCTCCTGTTGAAAGAGCAGGTAGAAGTTGTGGCTGGGGGGGTGGGAGTGGGTGGGGTTTTGCTTAGCTTAGGCTGATGCAGCACTTGAAACTCTATTTGGATAACTCATGCCCTCTTTACCATGAGCTTAGACCTATTGTAACACATTCACATGGAGCTGCCTTTGAAGATGATCCATTTGATAGAAAATGCAGCAGTCATCAGCAGGTAAGAGCCAGTATTGTAACATATCACACCAATTCTCTGGTTGTTGCTTTGGTTACCTGTGGTTTCTGAGTCCAGTTGAAAGTGGTGGTTTTAACCAATAAAGCTCTAGGTGGCTTTGCATTAGGATAGCTTAGAGATCATCTACTACATATAGAATCAGGTAGGGGGTGGAAACTTTGGATCCATCCCTACAACCAGTAAGAGGACATAACCCTGAAGACACTCCTCCCCAGTGGGATACTTTGTCCCCAGAGGTGTGCCTGACTTGTTCTTTACAGACTTTCTGCAATGCTATAAAGATGATTTTGTTTATGTGGGCATTGGTGGTAGTTTGTTTAATGCTTTTTATCTGAGATTTTGTAGTGTCCTGGTGCATTTTCACTTGGTTTGTCTAGTTGTCTTTACACTGTCTTTATAGGTTTTTTGTTTTAAAAATATTGTAAATCACTTGCAGTCTTGGGAACTGCAGTTTATTTAAACAAACAAACAAATAAATACTGAAAATATAGTACAGGTATTCCCAATAAGCCAAAGTGGTTTCTCTCCCTCAAATAAACCCAGCAATAAATTTTTCTGCAGCTGACTGAAAAACTCCATAGCAGATTTCACGGATAAACAAAAAATGACTGGAGAAATAAGAAAAAGCATGTTTGTTCTCTCTCTCTTTTTTTTTTTAACTAAATGCTTCTTGGCTTGATAGCTAGCTGGCCTTGGCTGATACTCCCAAAACTAAACAGGATCAGAATTCTTCATGTTTTGGATGAGAAACCACTAGGAAATCCCATTGCTATAAGCTACACTGGGAGGTCAAAGGAACGTTTCAGAAGAAGGCAGTGGCAAACAAGTTGTTGCTAAGAAAACTGCATGGATGTGCCCATGAAATAATCAGGCATCAAGCGTGACTCAAAGGAGACTTAACTTTTGCTTACTTCATTAAAGAGTCCCAGAGTGATTCTTAGAGGTAAAAATACAACATTACGAAACTTTTTTTTTTTTTAAAGTACCAACTTACAAAGCAAGCTATTTAATTCATATTGAATCCAATAGTTTTAAAATCAGCCACTATGTAAAATGGTACCAAGAACATCACTGGTGCATCATAAGTATCTGGTGAAAGTGAATTACTAACAATGCCTGATGCACCTCCAAAGGTTGTGTGTCCAATAATCAAAGTGTCACAGCTGAGAAGGCCCTTGCACAAATCACTCATGATTCCCTAGGTATGTCTGGAGGTTGAGTCATGGCAACTGGACTTCTTTTCTTTTTGGTTAGAGACGTTTCGCTACTTGTCCAAGCAGCTTCTTCAGTCTAAAAAGTTGCTTGGGGGACCCCATTAAAAGTCTTCCAGGGTGGCTGGGTTTCTTACTAACATGATGGGCTCATTGAAGGGACAATAGGAGATGTGATAGTA